CCTTCCTAGGAAGGGAGAGGGGTTAATAGAGAGCATCTGTCATTTGTTTAATTGGTGGCCCAGTGTTAAACCATGACACCAGTGCTGCCCACCATGGCTAACAAGCACAATTTGTGATACAAGCAAAAGAGCCCAGAGATGTCCCTGCTTATCACCACCAGCACTGTCCTGCACAGCACACACATGCTCCCCATCACACACTGGGAGCATTCTCAAGCCAGACAGCACCCCATGCAGACCACAGGTCCACGACTGCACCAAATTAACCAGGTGAAATCTGGGACCCACTCTGCCAAAACTCACCGTTCAGTCTTCTACTAATAGTAATTAACACTGGGACACTGTGAGAAATTCCCTATCGGGATGGTTGAACACTTGCCATGGTGCCCTGCTTCATCTTTCTCCTGCTTACAAAAACTGCTTACTTGCTATAAGTAAGGTTAGGCAACAAGAGTGAACAGACACACAAAATACAGCTAGCTTCTGAATTAATAACATCTGGGCAATATTGGAACAGCCTCATAGTCCACTGGCATTCATACTTAGTAGTTACTCTGTTCTCTGTATTTGATAGTGATCTGATTGGGAGTGGATGCCAGGAAAACACAACAGGAGTCTTGATTGTTTTTTTCCTACAGTAATTAGCAAGTTCTTATCAGCATCTCTTTCTGTAAGAACTGCACTGAGATTACTTAGAAGCCGTACTGTCATTCAGAAATTCAGACTGGTAATTAGTCCAAAAATCAGAAGGGCAGTCCTTTCTGAGCAAACAGTAATATTAATCAATTAAAATAATCAATTGTGCTTAAAAGGATGCATGAGGGACACTGAACAAGTCACTTATTTGCCAAATTAGAAAAAGTGCCCTGTAAAGAGGAGGACAAGAATAGCAATGGTGAAAAGAGCTCTGCATTCCTGAAATTACTCCAGGAGCCCAGTCTGGGACTTTTCCAGGGCCTGCTCTGCAGCCTCAGTGGTGACATGAGTGTTATTGAGCGGTGGGGGGGACACCGCAATGGTGGTTTAGTGTATATTTGTATATATTTAATTATTTTCTTTTTAATCATTATTGTTTTCATTAAAGCTGTGTAGTTTAGTTTCCAACCCACAAGTCTCTCTCCCTTATTCTCTCTCCTTTCCCTATAGGGGAAGGGAGAGGGGTTAATAGAGAACATCTGTCAGTCATTTAATTGCCCGCCCAGTCTTAAACCATGACACAATGTTGTGTTTGAGAAGTGCAACCATTTTCTTCGATGTTTCTGGGTATACATACAGGAAAGGCCTGGTATATTTTAATTCCTACTCAGGACAACATCCTGTTTATGGGTATTCACATACAGTCACATCTTAAAAGCTTGAGTTCCCACTGCCTTTACATCCATGGTAAACAAGAGGTAGATGACTAAAAAATATTACCAGTGAAGGATTTAATATATGTGAATATATAGGGTGTTTGGAACAGAGGTGGGAAAAGAAGAGAGGAGGGATTTTACACTCTGTTTCTATGCATCCATGCACTAAAGGTCAAGGCATGGGCACGTCAGGCACTTTTTTACATTTAATTAATCTGGTAGAAGAAAATATGCCTTTAGCAAAAATGCTCCCCAAAGGAGGGTTGCTGGTGTGACCCCTTTCTCCCCTTTTGTTTTTGGAGCATAAAATGTTTTTCAGAATCAAGCAGTGGCCTTGGTTCTGCATACCATTCTATAGCAGTAACTATAAACATCGAGTTTTATCAATCCTGGAAGCCGACACTGACTGAAAAACATGCCGTTAATTTCAGCAAGTGTAGGTACTTAGAAGGGACTTAACTGAAAAGTAAAATCACCATGAAGAAAATTGGTTCTATCTTGGCTCAAACCAGGATAGCTGCCATATGGCCTAAGTATTCACTTTGCTTCTTGCAGGGGAAATTTGCAGCCCATGCTGACTTTCCTCCTGCTGTGGCTAAGCTACCAATAGTTCCCGGAAAAGTTAATTTAAAAACACCTAGGTATGTTACAGGACTGTGTAATCTCAGCTGTATCTGTGATGTAGATACATCAATGAAAATCCAGGGCTAGATGGTCAGCTGGTGATGGTTACTCCAGTCCCTGATCCACATTAGCTCAGTTTGACCAAGGTGAATAACAGGGACTCCTCTTGCCAGGGTGAAGGGACAGGCCCCAGAGCTGTTGCCAGTTTGTTTTCATTACCTTGAATTTTCTGGAGTGTTGTTTCTGGCCCATAGGACCACATGCCATGGGTATTTCCAAAGACATGAGCCAGCACAGTAGTTGCCGTGGCTGGTGTGTGTTGCCCTGGGTAACCAGAGGGCTGTCGCACAGTGGAACATATAACTAGCTCAGGGAAAGCACTGTTTTAAACCATGCTTATTGAATTTAATGTATTTTCTTTTTTTTAATCTCTGTGCTTGCAGGTCAAAAGATTCTTCACCACAAAAGTGATGTCTTAGAAACTGTAGTCCTGATCAATCCCTCAGATGAAGCAGTTAGCACTGAGGTAAGTCAGTCAGAAATACTTCACTGGATGTGTCATAAAAGCTCCATTAAGTGGACAGGTTGAGAGCAGCTCCTAACTGGACAAAAGGACATGTTAGGAGCAAATATAATCAAAGACATCAGCCATCCCTTGATTTTCTTCCTGGTTTCCTGAACTCCTAATAATGTGCCAGAGGTATAGGACAGAAACACACCACTTATCCCAACACACATTTCATCATAACACACCAAATTCCCTTCTTGATCGCAGAATCACAGAATCTTAGGGGCTGGAAGGGACCTCAAAAGATCATCTAGTCCAACCCCCCTGCCAGGCAGAGTCACCTAGAGTACATCACACAGGAACACATCCAGGTGGGTTTTGAATGTCTCCAGCGAAGGAGACTCCACAACCTCTCTGGGCAGCCTGTCCCAGGGCTCTGTCACTCTCACAGTAAAGAAGTTTTTTCTGATATTTACATGAAACCTCCTATGCTCCAGTTTGCACCTATTGCCCCTTGTCCTGTCACTGGACATCACTGAAAAAAGCCTGGCTCTATCCTCCAGACACTCGCCCTTAACATATTTGTAAACATTGATGAGGTCACCCCTCAGTCTCCTCTTGTAAACAGCACTATAACTTGAAAATGTTTCAACAGTTCTGGGACACTAGTGCAAAATATGTTTTAAATTAGACGAGGTAAACTGTATGTTCTCAGAGGAATGTACAAACACGTGGTAACTCCCATTATTGTTGTGTTTCTCTCCTTCACTCTAGGTGCGCTTAATGATCACAGATGCTGCAAGACACAAGCTCCTTGTACTAACTGGACAATGCTTTGAAAACACAGGAGAACTCATTCTTCAGTCAGGGACCTTCTCCTTCCAGAACTTCATTGAGATCTTCACGGATCAAGAGGTGTGTTCAGAAAAGTGTCTTCCATAAATATATAGCCTCTTCTGTAGGCTTGCTTTCAAGACATTCATTTAATTTACTTTAGTTTTTATGTTAATTACTTAACAAAGGTATTCCATTTTAATTTTGGGAATTAAATTGTAACTTCAAGAAACAGAAAACCAAGGAACATTTTGACAATGGAAGGAGATAGCGTTGTGTTTAAAAGATACAGCTTGTTCATCTAAGGTGCACATGCAAAGCACTCAAATTGAATTTGACACCAGCTTCTTGCCTGGTGGCAACTAAGTAATAGGTGACATGAAATAAGACAGAGGCTATCTATTTGCATGGCTGTAGCTTTTTGCACCACTTACCTGCTTGGCTTCTTTACTGTAATGTTTAAAATTTTGTTAGTGAAATCTGTACATCTTGTGATTTTTACGTACCAAAAATATAAGTATGAAGTATACCAATATTTAATGCTATTTCTTTCACAACTTATTATTTTGCTGTCTTGCTTAATCTACTGTGTCTGAAAGCTCCCATAGGACAGGAAGCCATAGTAAACAAGATGTCACACTTAATTTGGCTGCTGAGTAAAACATATATTTAAATAAACTATATGACTGTATTCCTAGATATTTAGTTTCCAAAATTAATTAGGAGCATTTCAGTGGAGTGAGATTTGAAAGTTCAGCATTGAAAAAGCAAAGTTTGCATGAGCTCTAGAGTGACTTTATTATATCCATTTGATCCTTTTCTCAAAGCCTCTTTGTTGAACATATGGTTGTAAGATTGGGGAAAAAACTGTAATCCTGCTCTCTGAAATGTGCATGACATCTAAAAGTCACTGTCAATTTGCAGTTACTTTTCTATGAAATTGCAAACCCAAGATCCTTGAATCACTAGCTAATTAGTGACACACAATTACTTTCTGACTACATACAAAACTAGGGGTAAATACTACCATTACAGTTAGGAAGCCAAACCCTTGGCTGGAAAGTGGAGCAGTGGTGGCTGGCTATGAGTTACAGCCATTGAGGGATTGTCGCAGTGGTGGGCAGGGTCTAGGACAACTCTCTGCAGCCAACTCTCTGCTGGACAACTCAACACCGGGACATCTCTGCGCTGGGACAGCCCTCTACAGGGACAACTCTCTACAGTTCAGCAGATGACATAGGGCTGTGCTGCTCCTTATTTGTCAATCATGTTGATCTCTATTCCATGTTGGTCTCTGAGTAAAGCTCACTTGGCTTGTCTCTGCTGCTGGCAGCATGCTCACCAACCAGCAAAAACGGCTGTTTTAAAATGTTAGCTTCCAGCTTATTGTCTATGAAATCTTGGGCTCCCACTGCTTCTAAAAGATTTCACAAAAGCGAAGAAAGATCATATTTGCCATACTGCAGTCTGTGCATGTGACATTTTTTAAATGGGAAATTTTTAGGTGGTCTACAAATTGGAAAAAAGGTTAGAAAACATTTCAGTCTTTAATAATACTGACAGACCTTGGGCTTCCCAATCCTCTGAGTTTGGAGGACCACAAGCGCAGGAACAGTGATTTTCCATTTGTGGACACTGAAATTGTAAAGGATTGGCTGTATCAGTTGAATGTTCATAAGTCCATGGTGCCTGATGAGATTCATCCCACCGTACTCGGGAAGTTAGTGGAGGTTATGACAGGACCCCTTTCGATGATCTACCAAATGTCTTTGGAGCCTGGGAAGGTCCCTGCTGACTGGAAACTAGCCAATGTTATTCCAATTTGCAAGAGTGTGAGGGAAGACCCAAGAAACTACAGCTCTATTAGTCTAACCTCTGTACCTGGAAAAATTATGAAGAAGATCATATTGGATACTATTGAAAGACATAAAGAACAATGCAATCATCAGGCACAGTCAACATGGGTTCACAAAGGGAAAGTCCCATCTAACTCATTTGATATCGTTCTATGATAAGGTCACCTGCCCAGTGGATGAAAGGAAGGTGGTGGATGGAGTTTTTCTGGATTTGAGTAAGGCTTTTGATACTGTCTGTCTCCGTTTTATGATCAGGGCGAACCAAAACACAGAACAGAATTGCTCTCTATTACTCCTCCCCATCCTCCCAGGGGAAGATAAAAGGGGAATAAGGAAGACAGACTTCAAGGTTGGAACTTGAAACTAGAACAGGTTTAATACAACAGGGAAGGGATAGTAACACGTGGGATAATAATGAAAAATATACAAATATATACAAAAACCCCATTTCAATGGTCTCTGATATGTGTCCAAAAGTCCTTCATAGCAGAGCCAAATCGGGAAAAGGGGCCAGGGCTCCTCCCAGCAATTGATCAATTCAGATCCTGCAGAGCATGTGGCAAGCTGAAGACAAAGAACACGAGCCTCACCCCAAGATGTCCACCAGATGAGTGAAGGGAGAAAGGAAGCTGGAAGGTGGAAGGGACTTCTCCACCCCTCTGGCTTTTATAGGGTATGGCAGGAAATGGGAGGGAATACTGACCCCTCTCTGTTCTGCCCCCTGGATCCCTTGGGGATCCTAAACAACACCCACTGTCGCGGGCTGGTACCGGGGGCCTACCGGCTGTCAGGATGTTTCCGCGACTTCCCCCCTCAATGTGGAGAGGTTTGTGAATGAGCCTGAGCGTTCACACGTGGCGTTCACCTCTCTCAGAGGAACGGCCGCTGCGGGACCGTATCTTAGAGGGTAGACTAAAGTACCCTCCCACCACGCTCACAAATTGTTACTGAGACCAATGTTTAGTTTGCAAATTAATCAGTTTATTAAGGGTCAATACAAACTAAGGGATCAAGGTTCAGGAGAGGTT